TTTATATCATCCCTTGAATATATTATTTGAACTATAATATCAACTAATCAGTCATCTCTTTTCATTGCTTCTCTGACTACATACAAAAAAGATGTTTGCAAGAAGTTTTTATACTTCTAAACTAATAAAGTCTTACTACTCTCCTTAAACCAACTTGAAAAAACTTCAAGAGTCATCAACTATCTCCTCTCTTCTTGCTTACTATTCTCTTCAAATAAAAACTTGACTTCTAGTGATTATAAAGGTCAAGAAAAACCTTTTCTATCAATAGCAAGAAAGTTCTGAAAAGAAGAAGAACTAATGTGCTATCATCTCACACTATAGAGAAATATTACAGAAGTTCAGTAATGATGAGAGATAACTTTTCCACTCTCTTGTCATTTGTTGACTTCTCATAGTGCTCATTCTTGATTTTTTCTGAGGAATTTTGTCTACCTCAGTTTGATCCTGAATTTTGAGTAGCACAAAGTTTCTCACACCATGATTGGACAGATAGAGCTCACATTAGTGAAAGAAAGTAAACAAGCTCCTATTGGTAACCTCACATGTTTGAATGTATTTTCTCAGCTCCATAAGAACCTGGGGTTCACCATAAATCATTGTGCTGGTGCGGATGAATATAGAACACCTCTCTATTTATATCATTGGTTCCTTCAAGAAAGAGTCCGTCTGACTATGGTAAAGATCACAAGATACTATAACTGGGTTTTATAGTTGTAGTTATTAACTCCTGACCACTGAGTAGGTGCCTTTTTCAATTCCATTGAATAGGTAAAGATTCGAAAACAAAGTCCCTGTGGCAAAGTTGGGTTGCATGGCAGGCAAGACATAAGGGGATCAAATTTTTTTTTGGAGAATGATGTGTCTCACCTGAGCACATTAGTTAGGGGGAATCTAGGAGAATCGATGAATCTTCTTTCTTGGTGTGTGAATTAGATTGATCCAAGTTATTTTCCTCGACAACAAGCCATCCCATGGATTGGAGTAGCTAGAATTTTACAACATGGAGATACTGAAAGCAGCTGAGGAACAGGCAGTATGCCCTCGACTGATGAAGCCCTTGAAGAATAACCAACTTATGGAATCAAAGTGATAATAGTAGTGTAAAATTTTAACTACTCATAAACAGTTCTAGGAATGTTTTATTAGTAACCATTTCTTGTATATGCATTTATTTGCCATGACTTGAAACTTTAATAAAACAAGGCTGAGTCACCATTTAAAAAAAAAAAAAAAAAAAAAAAAAAAAAATTTTGAACTATAATATAGTTTTAATTTAATAAAATAGGATTTATACTAATTTAAAAAATAATAATAATAATTTTAACTATTTTTAATATACCATATTCTTTTTTTTTATAATTATAAATATAAGATTTTTAATCTTGAAACTTAACTATTATTGATTTGAATCAATATTAAAAACATATTGAAAAAACTTTTTGTTTTTTGAATTTTATTTTAAGAAAATGATAAAAAGAGGATATTTAATAAGTAAAATTTATATTTGCATGTTATCTTGAATTTATTTTTAATTATATTTAAACTTTAGATTAGATTTATTATAATTCAAAAGTATAATTACTACATTATTGATCCATGGATTCTATATTTTTTATACTTGATTTTATTATATTTTCTTATTATATTTAATTTTTTATTAATTTTATTGTATATAAACAGTATAAAAAAAAAGTGAAATCAAAAAATAAATAAAAGATAAAATCTTTGATATTTCATTACAAAATTTTGATTTAAAACTGTAGTATTATAATTTGTAATTATTTTAAACTTCATAATAATGCAATTTTTCTTAATCTATTATAATCGTTGCAAGATAGAAAACGAAAGAATCCAATATTAACTGGACATTATTATTAAAAGTACAACTTCAACTAAAATCATTAATTTTATATTTACTAATCTGCATTCGCGACTATATCGAAGTTTACATACGGGAATAGATATCATAATAATAAACTTCGAAATTTTATAATTGTGCTTTCCGATGGAACAGATCCCTTCGGGCATTTTTCATAATTTATACTGTTGTACACTAAATATATTTAATAAAAAGACCAATTCTTCTCGTCGTCAATGATATCAATGAGTGATTTTTTACAGGCTTTTCTCGAAATAAAATTACGGAGAGTCTATTTTTTCATTGTTCGAACGATTAATCATCTCGGCAAGGCATATTCCCAATAGGTCTTGCGTTATTGGATCACATGGGCGTATTCCTAGTGCCTGAATTAAAAATATGGATTACTTAACGGTTGTTATGGAAATAAGACATCCCAAAGAAAATCGCACATAGCAACCTCGTGATAATACATGATCGCCTCTTCAAAATCTTCCTTCACATGATAAATGTATCCGAGAGCGGATAATGCACTTTGGTTTGGCGGTGACATTGATATTACTTTCTTAAAATATGTCTCAGCGGCGTCCAGTTCCCTAAAAAAAAAAAAGGAGTAAGTTATTAAAGTTATGAGCAGATTTGCAACCACGTTTAATGCAAATATTACCCCAACATCCTGAACGCGTGACCAAGATTCATCCACGTGGTCTCCCAAATTTGCGGCCGACATTTTGTTTCCTCAACGAGCGCAAGTGCCTTCTTAAAGTACTCAACCGACTGAGAGTAACTGAAACAGATGAATCTTAATTATACAGGATCTCGAAATAACTCAAAAATGTTTCACAGTTGCCTGCTTACTTGAATTTTCTAAAGCATAATACTCCGAGTTCATTTAAAATTAACGGATCCCCTTTACAGATATTGTAGCTTGTCAGCAAATATTCTTCAGACGATAAAAGATTATTAGCTTGGAGATGTTGCATGCCAATGAAAAGGGTTGGAAGATGCGATCTGTTTATATTCGTAGATCTAGTGTGAGAAAAATAAACTATAATTTTAAAAGACATGGACAATTTCAAAAATACCCAGGAAATAACTTTGCTGCTGTAGAATAAGCGGTGATAGCCTGATCATGTTCGGATTCCGCTGCAAATGTATGCCCAAATCCTATCCACGCTGGTCCATAATGAGAATCCATGGTAGAGGCCTTGCTAAATTATAAAAGAGTTCGTAGTGATAAAAAAAAAATAAAATAAAATCAAGATATCTCGTTACAACAATAATGAAAATATTTGCGCATCCGAATGAGCCTTTAATCAGTCAACTTACATAAAATATCTTCTGGCCTCGTCATTTTGCCCAATCAAATAGTTATAACACCCAATCCCAAACCACGTGACTGTCCTGTCCGGAGCGAGTTCGACCAAATCATGAGCTAACAAAAACAATTTATTTTTCTCACGCAATTCGTGAAGACAAACTATGTGAATTGGAAGACAATCTTGGTTATGCATATCTTGCTCAAGAATCCTTAATTTAAAAAATGGTAAGTAACTTAACCAAAGGAAATAGAATTTAAATGTAGTTTTATGGAATACTTACTTTGTCGTGATCTCATAGCATTCCTTAAATCGGCATTGTGCATATAACCCATCCGCATGGCTCATTAATATATCCGCGTTATTTGATAATTTGTACCTCTCTTCCAATTCCGATCTTGCCTCTTGGATCTCCGATAAATTTTCGTACTACTCGATAAAACTAAACCTCGTGAGTGACCATTCAATTTAGCATTTCGTTTTACGATACAATTAGCACCTCGACATACCTTTTTCAACATTGAGATGTAATTCATTTTAACAAAATATGCTTCTTCACTCTCCAACTGTTCCTCAAACTTTAACGAATTAATAAATTCCCATTCTATATTGTTTATGTACAAATAATTAATTATAAGAATAAAAATACAATAATATAAAACATTTTCACGTCTGAAGATATAATCATAGAAATATTTAATGTCGAACCTTCTTTGCTTGACATCATGTGATTATTCACGAGCTCATGGAATGACTACGAAAAACGAAACACCAGCATAATTTAAATGGAATGATAGGAATGAATCTCACTATTTGGAAAGAATTCTTTTCGCCTACCTCATAGCATTTCACGTCCAGTTCTAATGCCTCTTTAAAACATTTTTTTGCACTATCAAGATTAGTCTGTTGAGAATATGCGAGCCCACGAAGGTAACACATAGACGCCTCGAGCTGAGGAAGGTAATCATAGAATTATCAAATATGTGACCAAAGAATATTTGGAAATTTAAATCTCAATTTATGAATGTTTACCTGAAGGCCACCCTCGGTATTTTTGACGATAGAACTATATTCTGAAACGTGTCACACAATAAATATTTACATATCATTTTCTTATTAACAACCAATTGTGTATTTGCTAACCTTTTTTCGAAAACGGGTTTTCCTCGCCAAGAATATCTATTGCCTCCTGATACTTTTCCATCTTAATCTAGTAATATAACGAGAAAACGCAGATAAATAAAAATCAATGTAAAAAAAAAACCCTTGACGTGAATAATGTGTAATCGAGAAGAAACCGAAAATGATAATACATTGCTTTTGAGATGGTAAGCATTTGTTGCTCAATTCATACTCACGCAGCACTTTGCGGCCAAATATCGACATATTACGCTCGAATCGATCAAATTCTTTATTAATTTCTGTGCCCTAACGTACTGACCCATATTATAATATACCAAAGCCAACCAATACACGTCATTTGAATCGCCTAAAAAAAAAAAATTTTTTCGTTTCAATTAATGTTGATTGGCTTGAAAAAGAAATTCCTTAAATGTTATACCAGTCATTGACATCACTTTATTTCCCCAAAATGCAGCTGTCTCATACAAATTTTTTAAATAAGCGTCTTGTCTCCATAATCTTAATTTATCTTCCAACTTAAAGGAACCCAGAACACCACTAGAAGTACTCCCGATACTGGTGCGACCATCACAAAAAGGAGAGCCTGCGAATACTGGTGACTCGAAAATGCTATTACTTATATTTTGACTATCCTTGCTTGAGAGGAACGGTAGTTTAAAAGGAGGAGGTGGGGAGGATAGCAGACTAGGTGTTACGGACGCGGTATTGTTTCTAAAAAAGGATCTCGGCGTGGCAAGTGGATCTTGATTTTGGGATAAATGTCGATTGTGACTCGGATTACGTGGCGGACTTGCATTTAGATTTTGTATATTAGAGTTCATGCTTGTATTGTGTGGAATGGTAACGCTACCACTTGCATTATTAGAATTACTCCCAATGCTAATGTCCGTTAGAGAATCATTGGCATTGTTGTTCGTCCTAGGAGTGGATGTGTTGGTATTGCGCGAGGAAGATGCTTGACCGGCCGCCGCTGCGCGAATCTGTCTGTTGACGCGTGATCTAGGACTGGGCATGTTTTTTTTTTTTGTAAGCGAAACTAAAATTATGAACACAGTGCATTATAAAGCACGTACATATTTGGCATGATAATCTGACCAGAATTATCGTACAAATGCAGTGGCTTGTAATTAATATTATTTAGATTTTGAATTAGCTATATTAATTGCTAATTTTCATCCAGAAATAAAAGCATTAAACGTAAAATCGACATATTACTTTACCCTTTCGAAGACGAAATTATTCAATAATCAATTTCAGTATAAAAAATAGGATGTTAAGTTCTTATTATCAGGACGACTTTAATTGAGCCAATGGATTAAATGAAAGAAGCTTTATGTCATACGTCATATGCATTTAAAATTAGTTTGGAAAAGTGAATTGGCTAAGAGATAGTTCTACAATTGCATTTCTAATTCGTTTCGCAAACTCTACAAAAGTTTTTTAACCATACAGTTTTATTCTATATTTTTTCGCGAAATTAATATACTGTATTACGTATTGATTGGCGATTGATATTCCAAATTTGTCTCGCGAATTCGCAAGAAAGGTGATTTAACTAATTTATCGATTGTCGACTTTATAGGGAGTAAGTTTTCACAAGAATACTTTATTTCCAAATTTGTTTCTCAAATTCTTACGGAACGTGCCTTAACTGTATTGTTAATATTGCAGATTGTAGGTTTTAAAAAAACATATTTCTAAATTTATTTCTCAAATTCCTACGAAAAATGCTTTGACCATATTATCGATTTTCGACTTGTAGTCTGTAAATTTTTGCAAGCATATTTCTAACTTTTGTTTCGCAAGTTCATGTGAATTGACTTTATCAATAGTTAAGTAAAGAATGAGTGACGTCTCCGTACTGGCCAATGTAAAAAGAAAAGGTGTTATGAAGGCACCCTAAAGTGTTTTGGCGATTCGCAAAATATTACGAGACTTCTTAAATGAGATGAAATAAGTTATACATAGTAAATTTGTATAATAAGCATTCTTGGCCGCACTAAAGAAAAAAATATTCTCGTGTTACTATTTGCTATGAAATCAAAACATGAAGAAACTAAAGATTCCATGATGATAATGAAACAAATAGAAGATATTAGTCGAAAGATGTAGAGCGAAAATCAATTATTTTAAGTCGAATCTTAGATGGTCTATATCAGCTGCAGCTGTATTAGTTCGCCGGGAATTTCGTAGTGGAGACATTCTTTCATCTGATATTGGAAGAAAAATACACCACTTAACAGATTTCGGTCGCCGTAGGATATGTTAATAGTGGAACGGAAAACCATACGTAGCACAAAGTTTTACGTGGTGAAGAATATACAAAAGCAGCTGATGTTTATGTGTTTGCTTAAGCGACCATGCGGGTTAGCATCCGGACATTTCGCATCAATTTGATTATTAAGATAAACATATTTCTTTAAATTTTAGATGTAAAGATAAAGATGAAAATATTCCTATGATATTGTTAGGAATGGTATCAGGCTAATGATCAAGGAATGTTAATGATATATTATTAATACAAAGATCTTAACAAAAATCAACAAAAGAAAATAAATTTTTATAACTTTGAATAAGATTAATATTAACAAATTCAAATCTTCCATTTCAATTAATCAGAAAATAATTTTTATTAATTTTTATTTATAGACAATTACTACATACAGTATGCAATAGTTCTCAAAAATAATATATTACTTGATTAAAATTTAATTTTTTCTTTATTTAAACATTGCATAATAACACAAATTTTATTTATTTTAAAAAAAGTAAATACGGTATCTATTAATTTTGTTTTATTGAATTTAAATCAAAAAATTATATTAATTAATTTAATACATTAATTTATTTTTTATTCAATCAATCTTTAATTAATATAATAATATATTAAGGATTATTATTTATTAAAAAATAATTTAATTCTTATTAAAATTTATTTAAAAAATGATAATTAAAAAGAATTTAATCAAAATTTATTAATAAAGTTTTTTATTTATTTATTTTTTTCAATTAAATAAAAATTATTTATATCTTGAATTATTATAACACTTTAAATTATTATTTTTTTACTTTTTATTTTCAAATTTATATTTAAAATAATATATTAAATTAATAAAGATTAATTCTTTTAATTTTTTTCAACAATACTATTTTTTATCAAAATCAAATTATTATTTTTTTTTTTTTTAAACCCTTGATCAGGCCAGTACTGTGTGTTTATTAATCATACAAAAACCGATTGAGATATATAAGGCAATTGCATCATGGTTAAACTAAAAGCTTGTACTAACACACTCGTCAACAGCATCAATTCTCAAAAGAGCTTCGGCCTCTAAGTGCAACCTCGGGGACAATATTTTGCTCTGAACTAAGTTTTGGGTAAAGATCCTCCTAACTTACCTATCATTGCTAACAGGTTGTCACTGCTTATTATCCTCCAAGAAACTGAATTCAAGATACTACAAAAAGGGAAAGGAAAAATAAAAGGAAAGGGATATCTAGAAATGCACAACTGTGCTACATGAAAACAAAAAGAAAAGAAAAAAATAAAAGTGCTACATGTTCTCCAAAGAACCTCTACCGGAAATCTCTTCTCATTAGGAGTCAACCCTTCTAGGATATTCTTCTTCTTCTTGACCATCTGAGGAACTTATCTATCCGTGCTCTTGATTATTTTTTTGCAACCGTCTGAGGTACTTATCACCTACTCGGATCCAGTGTCTTGCTCAACGCTTCCTTTCTTTCAGTCTTGATTTTGTATCCACCCGCGCAGAAGAAGACGGCTAACGGTGGACCCCAGGTTCTTATGTGGTTTTTCAATCTTGTTGGGTAACTCCCGATATCTTCCAGCAGCCACGCCTAGTTAAAGAAATTTTACTGGTGTTCATCTTGATTGCGATATCATTACACAACGTCTGGGGAAATGCATTTTCAATCCTAGAGAAGAGTAGTGTTTTACATTCCTCTACTTTTCAGTCTTACAGCCTAACCGGGATAAGGAAATAACCTCCTTCGCATACTTTGCCTGACCGGGATGCTAAGAAGTAGAAGGTCTCGGTTTGAACAAATAACCACCTTTTCACCACCTAGGGAATTTAGTGCCCATCTTAATGGCCTCATGATTTTTTTGCTTCGGTTACACTTCATTTGGAGGAGTGGAGGATGCGTACCAATAGATTCTCTTTCTTTCATCAATGACATTATCGGAACACGTGAAGTGACCAGTAGGAACTTGTTTACATTCAGTTACTAACATGTTTTGTGCCCACCAATCATATTTTGCAATAGGTTGTGTCACCTAAAATTCAGGGTCAAACTGAGATAGGTAAAATTCCCCAGAAAACCAAAATTTTTGGGTGACTTTAAGAGGGAAGATACAGTGGGCAGACACCTTGAAATATGGCTTAATGTTTGCTGCCTCCCACTACTAGAAACCTCTATAGACATGCTTCAATATGAAAGGCTTCAAGTACTACACAATAGTTTTTCTTCCTTGCAGAACTTTCTTGCCGTTAGTAGAGAAGGTATTTCTTGACTTTTCTAGGTCCCAGGAAGCCAAGTTTTTGTTTAAAAATGAATATAAACAAGGGAAAGGGTTTAGGAGTGTCTCTTGAAGTAAAACTTCAAGTTGTTTTAAGGATAGTATTAAGACTTTATTAGTAAAGAAATAAAAAATTTCTTGCAAACATCTTTTTTGTGTGTGGTCAAGGAATCAGCGGAAAGAGTTTCATCAAAATCAAATTATAAAAACTTGTTTTAATCTAATCAAATTATATATTTTTAATTATTTTGATTCAATTTTTATATTTTTTTTATTTAAATCAATTTTTTTTAGTGAATGTTTTAAAATACTAACTTTTTTTAATTTATTAGACAAAAAATTATTATTTTCAAGTATATATTAGATACTACTTATAGAAATATTTAAACTATTATACTTTAAAAGTTTATTTTATATTTAAATAATATATAAATATTTGGGAATTACAATAATTATCTAATTTAAATAAAGTCAACTTAAATACTGGGAGCCCAAAAACATACTTGATGATCCAATAGAAGTCAATACAATTGTGAAAGGTAATCTTGTTGCTACAATTCTGGCCATGGCAAAGAAACTACAGATTATATATAATAGTTGGAGATGAAAAAAGATCTTTGATACTCAAAGAGATACTATATTTATCAAGACAATTATAAACAATAAAAAAAAATATATGAAAGTCATCCCTTCTCTAAAAAAAAAATAATAATATTCTGGATCAACAAATCAATATAATTATAACAATAATAAGAAAATAAAAAGTAGTTCAAATTCTTGTGGATATTTGTAAAGATCTCATTCCAAGTTGATATAAACAAATTAGAGTAAAGGTTACAGAACAATAAGATTTGCTAAAACAGTTCTATCAAATCCTAAAATAAACGGAATATAAACTTCAAATAGTAAAAATAGTTTCTAAAACTAATAAGCAGAAAATAAATTGAAAAGTTTTAATCAAAACAAGTAAGAACTATTATAGAGAAAGTCAAAATACAAAACAGAGAAGTACTTTTTATACTATATCAGCTTATTTACAATCCTAATATAAATAGTACTACTTATTATTCCCATATATCTAAACAAACAACAATTTCAAACATATCTCAAATCTGATTACTACTACAACTAAATAAGTAAGAAAATATTAGGAAAAAGAATCTATTCATATTTCCAAGAAACCCTATAAACTGGCAGCCTATAGTATCAATAAATAGATCAAGTATTATATATTTGTTAGAACTAGAAGAGATTGAAATACAAATAGAGAATTGAAAAGTCAAACTAATTAAACAGGCTATATAATCAGATAAGTATATAATAGACCTAATAAAGAGTCTTAAACACAACTATAAAAGAAATACAAAGCAATTTACTTTCTTTATTAACAAATCTTATAAGCAATATATAAAAAGTAAGAATAAATTCAAAATGAATCTTGTATAAATTCAAACTGAGAACAACATAATAATC